TCGTCGGAGCCGAGGGCCGAGGGGGCAGTTTGCTTTCTTTCCAGTATGGACTCGAAACTATCAAGTTTGGCTAGATTCGCGAGAAGCATGGCTAATAAGTTGGCGTTGGGCTCCCCTTGGCCCTAAACACGGAGGTGGTTAGATGATTTAGAAATTGTGACTCTACGTTGGACCTGGGGACGATGATACGTACAACTATGTGGTCTAATATCACACCGATGAACTTGTCATCGTTTGCCAAGTCCTCCAGAATCTCAGGGTCTCCTGACAGGTTGATCAACATGGTCAGGACATGTTCGGCAATTTTCTACACAAAAGGTTAGAAACCTGAACTCATGCAGAGGGTCAGGGTTTCCGGTCGCAATATACAGGATGATCCCGAATCAAAAGCTTCAGGTTTTTAATGGGTTTCATTTCTTCCGTTTTAAATATTACAGGCTCCGACGTTGAGTATGGCACCAGATTCTCGGTGGCCGCCAGCCGAATCTGTGGGTTGGGATGAGCAATGAAGCCCACAAGCTGTAACAAGAAGCCAAGTCAGGATTTTTTTTTTCTTTATTTTCTTGCAAGAAATTCCAAAATATGTTTCAGCTTTGAAGGGATTCTGACGCACCTCTTCCAGTTCTGTGGGCATCTTTTCGGTTTCAGGTGTTCAGTATAGTGTGTGAGTGTCACAGTGAGCACTGAGGATGTTCAATGACTAGACATCGATTCGACATAAAAGTTTTGGAGGGGCAGTTTTGATAGTGGGGGTTTATCGGAGCCTCATGGGGGCTTCAGCGTCATCGCCAGGGGGCCAATCTTTAAACGTTATATCAACATGATGGCGATTGTCACATTCATCAGCCCTTTTCCAAAGAGCAAAAATACTGGGGGCTATGGCTACGAAATATTGTCTTTCCGCATTGCCATTATGTCGCAACTCGTATCATACTCCAGCCCTTCCGTACCCGTTAGTTGATTTGAGTGACAGCGCGGCTTTTGAGCGATAAGAAGCCGACAACCGGCAACGTCGGAACGCATATCATGAAAACAATTGTGAGTCTCTGCGATAGGATTTCCACCATTGTTGGAATTTAAACAAGATGATTCATCGTCCGAAATAGAGATGTCGAAGTACCAACATTCCGAAGGCGGTGAGAATGCTCTGTGGCTAACCATCTCGGCGCTAAACCAAGTTTAGAATGAGGGGCGGCAGATCGATAAGGCACAAATTTTCGATTTTCCATCCCACCGCCCGCGTGCCACCATAGAGTGAGAGCCCGCGAGACTGGCGTAATTTATAGTCTACTTGGGCATTTGTTGTCGTCAGTGCTTCCATCGCCAAAAGAATACGCCCAGAATGCCCAAGGCTACTACTCCCAAGGCCGACCGGCCTGCCCGTCGCCATAACCCTCTCGAGAACGATATTCTCGCTACTGGTCTCTTGCGTAACAAGCCCACCAAAAAGAAGTCAAAGAACATTGAGGATGCCGATGAAAGCTTTGTCGATTCCAAGGCCTCCAAGAACATCTTGAGGATAGGTCGTGAGTTAGCCGAGGAGGAAAATTCTGAGAGAGCCTCTTTTGCTCCCGAGCCAACCATCGACTCCTTCGGGTACGACTCTCGATTCGACGACAAGCTTGATAGTGAGGAAGTCAAGACATATGACGATGATGACGCCTGGGGTGATGACGACGAGGTTGTGGAGGAGATTGAAGTCGACCCTGAAGATCTTGAAATGTACAAGAAGTTCATGCCTGACGAGGAGGACGATCTATTGAAGCATGGTTGGGACCTCAAGCCCTCGGGCGACGCAGTTGAAGGCGAAAGCCGCAACTTGGCAGATATCATTCTGCAGAAGATCGCAGCGCACGAGGCTGCTGAGGCTAGAAAGGATGCTGGCGTGCCAGTTGACGACTATGAACTACCTCCCAAAGTAGTTGAGGTTTATACCAAGTGAGTACCCGTCGTGAAAAAAAAAAAAAACTAGGGGAGATGGTGCTGACCGCAACTGTAGAATCGGAGAGATCTTATCGCGCTACAAGTCTGGTCCATTGCCGAAGCCATTCAAAATCCTCCCAACTATTCCCCACTGGGAGGAAATTCTCGAAATTACCCGACCAGATCGTTGGACACCAAATGCTTGCTTCCAGGCAACCCGAATTTTTGTTTCTCATAAGCCAATTGTCGTGCAGCGATTCCTCGAAATGGTGGTCTTGGAAAAAGTCCGCGAAGACATTTACGAAAACAAGAAGTTAAATGTTCACTTGTTCAACTCTCTCAAGAAGGCACTGTACAAGCCTTCTGCTTTTTTCAAGGGATTTCTCTTCCCGCTTATTGGCAGTGGTACCTGCACCCTGAGAGAAGCCCACATCATCTCCGCTGTACTTGCTAGAGTCTCCGTCCCAGTTTTGCATTCTGCTGCAGCCCTCAAGGGTCTTTGCGAGATCGCTGCCCAAGAAGCCTCCCAGGGAAGCGAAGGTGGTGGTGCTACCAACATCTTCATTAGGACATTGTTGGAGAAGAAGTACGCTCTGCCATACCAGGTCATTGACGCTCTGGTATTTCATTTTCTTCGATTTCGTAGCGAGGACCCTGCCAGCGTCCAGGAAGGCGATGCCATGGCCGGGGTGTCCGGTGAGGGAGACGTCAAGACGAAGTTGCCTGTTATCTGGCATCAAAGTCTACTAGCATTTGCCCAAAGATACAAAGGTGATATTACCGAAGACCAACGTGAAGCCCTTCTTGATTTGCTCCTAGGCCACGGCCATTCTGCCATTGGTCCGGAAGTGCGACGAGAACTGCTGGCGGGACGGGGACGTGGTGTTCCCTTGGAACCCCAAGGTGAGGCTCTGGATGGCGATGATACCATGGCAGTCGACTCTTAAAACAAAAGCAATTGGAGAAAAGCATTGGGGGCAAGATTCGAGCATGGCATTCGGATGCTCTTGCATGGCGTTTGGAGCTAGTTTCGGGCAATAATGACTTCGCTTTTGCGTTTCGAATATGTTAGCGGAAAACAGTTAATTGTGTTACAATAAATGGCTCTCCTCGTGTCCAAAAGGTAAGAAAAGAAAAAGACAAAAATGGCATTGGCCATTGTCTCTCTATACAGATGGGTTCACTTGACAACCACTCACCGTTCGTTCCTTCTTCTAGATCACCCCATGGAGTTCCCTGTGACCATTTCAAAAACACCCACCATCTTGCTCCTCCGCCTGCCTGTCAAAATGTAATTTAGACCGTCCCTAATCCAAACCTACCCTATGCAAGTTTTCCTATCCAACGCCGAGATCCTAAAGGTCTCCATTCCCTAAAAGGCTTCTTTTCACACAATTCCTGACACAACTTGACGATCCGAACACTTGAAACCACCAATGTGGCACTGTGCCCTAAAGGAAATCAGCATCAAAACCCAAGGCTTCACACGGTTCATCTAGTAGGGCCGACGCGCTATTAGAGAGGTCCCATGTCGGACTCTCTGGTTCGGAGGATGATGCTACCTAGCCCAACGGGAGCAAGCGAGATAAAGTATATCACTCAACACATCTCCATACATTACAATGGTTGTGCTGATTATACTTTGCCACAGCTACTTTAATCTTCCTTTCCAGGGTTTCTCAACTCCGCCATTATTCTATCTTACCTTTCCAACACAACCCCCCGGGCCTAGAGATGCTCGAGGAGAAGGATGGCGCAGTACCATGCCCGACGATAGAGCGAATACAGGATCATCTTCCTCTGCCGCCTCGCCATTTGTACTACCGTATTTATTCAAGAGCTGCAACCCCCCTATTGTCTTTGGTGTAGACCCGCCACGTCCAGCTCGAGAGGGATACGAATAGGTGTGGTTCCCAGAGGGCTACTGGGCAGAGAGACAGCCTGCAGCCGCACCACGGACGAAGAGTAATGCGAGCTCTCGGTTTTGGAGGTGGAAATCACGATCACCCAAGTCCACAAGCGAGACGGACGGAAGAGATGCATCATACGCGTCTCCCACGGCATCGGTGTCATCACCATTATCCAAATTTGGCACCACCGGCGCTCAGCAAGCCCCCAGCCCGTACCTTTCTGAGTCTGCCCATGTCTTATCTTTACAGCATCCAGTAGGCAAGACTTTGGCTACTGGGTCCGATGAAAGTGTCAGAGTATCGCCAAATTCGAATGAGTCTAGAGTGAATTGGCAAGGGAATGAAAATACCCCTGGCCCAATCTTTGATGTATTGCGTCCCCAGATGGCACCTCATACCCCGTCTGTTCGGTCTCAAAGTTCCAAAAGATTACGAATATCCAAAAGAAGTGACTACTCTGAACAACAGGATGAGCTACGCCTCGACAACATACCATTGGAGCATAATACGGTTGGTGATATAACACAAGAAGTCTACGCTTGAATAGCATCAACTCACTAAAGGTACAGATGGAAGAAGGCCCTAATGATGACCACAAACCAGAAAACAGTAGCGTCCCATGTACTCGTCTCCCGTGGATGTCTGCTTGGTCACACAGTCTTGGCAAGACTGGTACTTGGTTCAAGGAAGAAGTTGCGCACTCGAAGCTCAGTCACAAGTTCTTTGGTCGGGCCTCCTCGCATCCGAAGCATTCTCACCAGTCATTATGTGCAACTCCAAACTCCTCGAGACGAGGATCCAAAAATACCCGTAAATACGGGTCAGGAATGTTCCTTAGCACCAACAGTAAGTTCATGCCTTTCTCTACTCGCAAATACGCACGAATAGGACCAAACCCACAGCTTCTCAGATAGTTTCCGGTCCGCAAATAGTCAATTCCCTGGAGGAGTAAGTACACATCCGCTGTTGTTAGTCTGCAACGCCATAGTCATAGAGCATCACATTGAACAAGGTTTCAGGAAGCTATTCGAGTCAGCACACCGCCTCTGGACGAGGACACGGCGGACGGAAAGCCCAGGGGTTTCTTCACCTCGATGACGCCTCCAGATCATAATTCAACTAGCAGTCCATCTCCAACGCAATCTTCCACCCACTCAAGCCCTCACCATGGCTATCAACGCAGCAGTTTCTCCTCTCAGCCTCGAGAATGGTTTGATCCAATGCCTCCGCGCAGCAAACGCCGGAAGCAGCAGCATCAACAGCCATCTGCTGTGGACTTTGTATTCGATGTACCGGAGCACTTGCCAAGCAGTCCTCTTTGCCCTGCCAATATTCGACATAAAAGCGGCGGGACAGGACTGTGTGTCTACCACGGGCGAAGGAGAGCCAGGTCTACTCTGAGAGATACCAGTGAGACGGGTACTAGCACAGAGCTAACCGGGGGCCTTTATTAGGTTGAAAATATCTCTTTCCTTGTATCATAAGTTCAATATCTCTGTCTTTATTAAAAAAAAAAAAAACACGGATTTTTTGGTGGTCCGAAAGCCGTACTGCTGCCAATCGTTATGCTCTGATCCATTTCTATTCCTTCCCGAGATAATTCGTCGTCTTTTTTTAATCTCGTACACCAACGCCAGGCTAAGACCTGTGAGAGTTATTAAAATAGTGTTTCTCTGCTTCTCAGGAAACGCCAATCTAAACAGCTTCAATCTTCATTGTCCCTCTGAGATCCAGCTCAAATGTGGGAGGCGCCTTTGTATTCCTTGGACTCCTTGAGGGGGTCATAATGGGAAGGTGATCTTTCATTTCTATTACAAACAGCACCCAGCTCCCCCAGTCGGTGCATCTCGTACGGTGAGCTTAAGCAGTTTGAACACCCGGCTTTTGATCCGCACCACCCAGTCGTTGCTAGGCATCATAAGCACATCAACAGGTTCGTACGACTGCTTCTTTTGAGTGAGAAAAAAGTCCCCGCCCGCTTGAAGCTTTCTCCGTTACCGCCAATATGGGTGAGAATGAGAACAACGGCGTAGACAGCAAAGATGGGAAGCATCAAGTTCCTCGGACGGCGAATTGAACCATGGAAGAATAAAAATGAGACCCGTTCCCAGGGCCGGGGTGATGAGTATAATGAGACGTAGGATTGGCCAAGGTTTCCATCGAGTCGGGCGAGATATCATCGATAGGATGGCCATTAGAAAGAGGCAGCTCCCTGCAGCAATGGACCCGTAAGCAAACTGCAGAATATCTTTCATTAGCAATTGATGAGAAAGAGTTTTTGAACTGATATGGCACAAGGAGTATGCTAGATGTCACATGTTGTCAGTATACGTACCACAAGCCGATGACGCCGCCACGTCTTATTGGCAACCTTGTTTTGAAGCATGCCAGCGTTTATATTGCCTGCCGTCTTGTTCTGTGTCGGCTGAATTACGTCCTTGGCAACGTCGATTCCAAAGACTGAGAAAAGCTTTTTTGTCGTGGATTCTATGATGCTTTGGACAGATGCGACAAAGGTAAAAAACGCATCCTCGTTCTTGGAGAATACATCTATATCTTGTGTCTCGCCGTACGTTCTGCAAAGTTCATGTTGACCAATGTGATGTCGCAAATGTCGTAAAATGACTGCATTCAACATGCCAAATATACTATCTGTTACAAATCGCACATCATATGATGCCGCAAGGCACCAGGTGAGCCACAACAGACTACGAGCTCACATGTCAGCACTGTTTCTAAACCGTGGCTAGTTTTCTCAAGAGCCCAAGATGGTTATACCCAGGAGATATTCCAGCTGTGAGGGGGCGTAACTCCCACCGCTGCCATAATAAGACGAATCTTATAAAGAAGCTTGGCAAGTGTCTTTGGCTGTTCTTTGAGTTGCTGTATATCATCAAACTCAACGCCGTCAGCTCGATTTTGTAGATCCAGCATCATTACACCCTTTGATGATTGTGTTTTTGATTTGGAAGCCGTGCCTTTAGAGTGTCGCGAGCAGACTGAGGTGACTGGTCCATTAGATGGCGTATGACGATTCGTTATCGACAGTAGCTAGACGTTGATGAGTTTGCGTTTGGAGCTTTGTTTCTTGCTTGACGTCCATAAGAGCGGTCGGCTGTAGGAGGCTCTTCCACTCATCATCTGGGAACTTTTTCATATCCGCATCACCGTTATTAAACATTGCATTACAACCACAGCGCCTTTCATGTCCTACCTTGGAAAAAACAGGCCTGGAGCCACAGTTGGGCCAGCCACTCTGTGGGTCCCCAATTCAGTTGTCTGGTGGATACAGACAGCGCCTTGCCAATCGGCTTCGCGCTCAACGCGTCTCGCCCAAGTCAATTGACGCGCCAAATGACCTCCCTCGTCTGACGACATGCCAGAGGAGGAGGTTGATCAACCAGAACACCGTCGTATCAACTATCACCTACGAGCTTTGCATTTCAGCTCATAGCTGACTTGGTGATGGATCAGGATGTTACCCCGACTGGCCGAAAGCGATCGGTGGACGACATCGAAAATGATATAATACCCGACCCGATCAAGAGGAGAAAGTTGGATGATGCAGCAGCTGGCTCACCCTCGACCCCCAAAGCCCTTAAAGCCATTGCCTCAGCTATCTCGGGCGTTTTTGGAGCCGGCCGCCAGTCTCGGAAAGAGGTCAATGGCACCGAACCATCTTTGACGGCTACTTCGACCCAACCTAAGCCTCTCCTCAGCACCAACAAAAAAAATGGTCGTTTGCTCAACCCAGCTGCTCCCGCTGCTCCCGCTGCTCCTGCTCCTCCAGCTTCATCACCGTTGAAACGGCCCGCCATCAAGATAGCAGCATTGAGAGGAACAATATGGGACAATGGCGATCTTCCCGAATCAAAAAAATGTACTGTTCCAAAGCGTCCAGTCAAGCAAGCCGGGGTGGGAAATAGGTATCAGGGTCCATTGCCGCCCGCATCTGTCTACCAGCCCAAGGAGGCGACAGCATCCGCCCAGAAGCCGGGCTCTATCGCTGGCAACAAAGCACAACCGCCAAAGGGCATTCTTACACCAACCAAGAAACGAGGCCGGCCACGCAAAAACGTCACCTTTAACGGGGGTGCCGATGGCGAAGTATACTTTGATGATCTACCCAAGACCTCGACCGCAAGAAAACCAAAAGCGGCCAAAGCGCAAATGGCACAGCAAGAGGACGACGGTATAGTCTGCGAGATGTGTTACAAGCCAGACTCAATAGCGCCAAACGAGATTATACTTTGCGACAATTGCGATTTTGCCGTGCATCAGCAATGCTACGATATCGCAGAGGTCCCCGAAGGCGACTGGTTGTGCAAATCTTGCTCTCAGGAAGATGTGCTCAAGGCGCCAGGCGAGCCCACCCCCAAAACGAACGAACCTTCATATCCGGTCGAGGTGCCCGACATACCGAACCTGGATCATCACCTGCGAGGGTTTCAGCGTGTGCTCTTGGACCGATGCTCGGGACGGCGGCGGATACGGATGTTCGGGCAGGAGGAGCCGTATGAGAAGGTTAGGCAGCTTATTGAACAAACTGTTATGGCGGGAGAGGGTAACTCAATGTTGGTCATTGGACCACGTGGCTCTGGCAAGACGACGGTAAGAAATAAAAGATGTGGATTATGCGGCGTATGGAGAGTGTACTAACGATGAACGATGTGCAGTTGGTGGAAAACATCATAGTTGACCTATCAAAGGAACATGGGCATGAGTTTCACGTAGTACGGCTCAATGGGTTCATCCACACTGATGACAAGTTGGCCCTGAAGGAAATTTGGCGACAGCTTGGAAAGGAGATGGAGGTTGAAGACGACCTACTGAACCGGGTACGCTGATAACATAGCATGCATTGTCAAAGTCAACTGCTAATACGGAGTGCAGATAAACTACGCAGATACGATGGCATCGCTTCTGGCTCTGCTCTCTCACCCATCCGAAATCATGGGCACCGACGAAAACCTCACATCTCAGTCGGTAGTGTTCATCATTGACGAGTTTGACATGTTTGCGTCCCATCCCAGACAGACCCTACTGTATAATCTTTACGACATTGCGCAGTCTCGCAAGGCTCCGATTGCCGTTTTGGGTTGCACCACTCGTATTGGCGTAGTAGACATGCTTGAGAAGAGAGTCAAGAGTCGTTTTAGCCACCGCTACGTGTATCTCGCTCCACCCAAATCTCTGCCGGCATTCTGGCAGATTTGTCGCCAGGGCCTTATGATTGACAAACCTGATGTTGAGAGCGAAGGTGTAGATGTTCACACGGAGGGCTACATTGAGTTTCATAAATATTGGACCCAAAAGATAGAGGTAAAGTTCATCTCAGCGTGACCTTTGGCTTCTTCTTTTTTTTTTCTTTTCTTTTTTTTTTTTTTTTTTTTTTTGCACGGAGGTCAGGCTGACAGATTGGCAGGAACTCTACAAGCAACGGCAATTCCAACACTTGCTACAATATCATTACTTTACAACAAAGTCTGCGGCGGCCTTCTTTACGGAATGGATATCGCCTCTTTCTTCGCTCTCGTCAAGGAACCTCACAATGAACAGCCCGACAGCATTGTCGCCGACGACTTCGTTGGCTCCCCCAGACTCACGGATGCAATTGCTGTCCACCTTGTCGTATCTTGAGCTGGGACTACTCATCGCCGCGGCGAGGTTAGACATTGTGGCGCACACGGACACGGTCAATTTTGCCATGGCATACGACGAGTACAGCTCGCTGGTGGGCAAACAACGAGTCCAATCGTCGACGGCGGGCATGCTGGCCATGGGCGGCAGCGCGAGGGCATGGAGCCGTGGTGTTGCAGGAGTGGCCTGGGAGAGGTTGATTGCGCTAGGATTGTTGGTGCCTGCTGGAATCGGCGGCGGCAGGTCCCTCGGACATGGAGGGCTGGACAGCAAAATGTGGAAGGTTGATGTTGCGCTGGAGGAGATTCCGACGGCAGTCAAGCTGAGCACGACCCTGGCAAGATGGTGCCGGGAGATATGAGGCATGTTTTGGTGGTTCTTCAAGGGAGGTGGCACTAAATGGGACACGATGTATCATACAAGGCGTTGACGTGGCATTGATGATCGCATTGCATGTAGTAGGAGCATATGTACAACCAGGGCATAGATATGGGCAGGCTGTAGTTGACTTTTTGGCTCTCGTTTATTCTACCTACCCGGTAGCAGGTACCAGGAAACTGGTAATTCTTATACCCCGTCAAGTACATGCTAGTTGATACTAATTGTCTGTCGGCTTGAGGACCACAACCGGCATAGCTATTCAATGCTGGCTCGTTCATTTTCAGCAGCATTGAAGGCCGGCACACAGCTCAGTTAATGGACTGCACCAACCAGGCTGTCCTTGTTAATGAATGAGGTGGTACAATTGTTGGGCCGGGCCGGGCTTCGTTTGGTACGTTCGGAAGCAGGTGGTAGTTTTTACTACTCACTACATGTAGTCTGGTAGTACTGTGCTACCACGGATTGCTCCGAGCCGGCGCCACTCATGTCTCCGGTTTAGGGGAGCCCTGGTGCTGCAGGGCTGGAAACGGAGGAGCCGAACCAGACTTGACACCACATGCATGCTGTCAGGTGCGCCGTGCGTGCGGAAGGGCAGTGTCCCCTAAGAATAGTACACCGACGTGGACCATGGACGGCATTTCGGGGACCCCAGCCAACCAGCAGCTGGCCGCCTGGCTGCATGTGAGATCAATTGATGGAATTGATCTGTGCCAAGCCCTGGGATCCCTTCTTTGCCGGCCGGCCCTGGGGTGCAGATCCCGGCACTCTCCTCTCTTCGTCTCTGCTCGTCTGCTACAATGGTACGGAGCTGGTCGTTTGGGGTGAGTGATTTGCGTCTTCTCCTTGGCCGGAAGAAGAAGACGACGGCCAAGTGCCGGACGCAAAATCGACACCAGACAGCCAGCGGGACGAATGAGGTGCGCTTCCCAAAACACGCCCGCGCCCTCGCCCTCCTCCTTGCTCAATGTTGGGGTAACCCACCCAACGTTGACACGCACGTGGCGCTCGGGTCCAGGCTTGGACGCTGCGAGCGCTCGAGGCTGGAGTGCTACGACCTGCTCCGGGTACTTACACGGTTAAAGTAGTCAGCCAACAACTAACCGGCTGGTCTGGTCGCATCAAGGTCAATGCAGGGGGCTGAGACTCTGCAACTCTGCAACTCTGCAACGCTGAGACGCTGAGAAGCCTCATGCGGCCTGGCGGCTTCAAAACACCATCCTTGCCCTTGCGACTGGATGCGGCTCATTTTCATTCCCATACATGATTGCCGGTGTCCTCGTCGCCCCCCCATCGCAGACCGGCCAGATGCTGCCTGTGCCTGCGCCTGTGCTGTTGAAGTTCTTGCTGGGCAGCCCCTGTACCGGAACACCCAGACGACGGCATCAGTCTTTGCTTTGGGTTGAACGCCCGTAACGGAGTTGCATCTGCCTTTTGCCATCCGACGTCGTTGGCATCATCACCGTCAACAGCACCCGCCACTGGCTACAAAACCCTACAGGCCTAAACCGAGACTTGCCTCCTCCCTCGGACGCTCCCAGATAGAGTTGAGCTCACTCGCCCATCAATCATGTCCAAACGAACCGTCTTCACAACCGTCACCCCCCTCCCCTTGGGCCTCACCCGCGATGCCGCAGTCGCCTTCCTCCATGACCACCTCCAAATGATCGATCTCAACCCGCTCATCAAGGACCGGCACCGCATTCCACCACCCCGCCACGCGCCCGACGAGGAACTCGGCTGTGTGTGGTACTCTCTCACCGACAAGGTGTCGTACCTACCCGGCGGTCTCGCCTCCAGCGACGTCACCTACACGGCTGCCTTTCACGACTTGCCGCGCGGCATCCAGACGCACTGCTACGCGCCCATGGGCGTCGAAACCCGCTCCAAGTGGTCCATCGGGGGTTCCATGCCCGGCGAGCCTCTGGAGCCCATGGAGTTGGGGCTCGGCGCCCCCACGACGGGCTTGTACCTGAGGGAGGACGTGGACCTGCGGTGTAATATCTTCATGGCCAGTTTTGTCAAGAAGACCATTAAGAAGAGCCACTCTACCCTGGTCGACCGCCTACACCGTGTCGCCAAGGGCCAGACGAGCAGCGAGAGCTCGACGACGACGCTGCAGCAGCAGCAGCAGCAGCAGCCCCGGAATGTGCAAACCACACTGCTGGGCTTTTCTTGGCAGCGTGATAATCGCTTCCACGGGCATAGCAGGAATGTGAGCAGCCCGGCCTTGACAAGCGGCACGAACCCGTTCAATGATCGGCCGTTGCCGCCCACGCCGCCGGCCGAGTTGTACGATTCGAAGCCGCTGCCTTCATATGACCCTCTTGGGCAGCGCGAACCACAGGCCGCCGAACTTCAATAAATATGCGCTGCTGCGCAAGTATACATGTTTTGGCTCCTCCAGTTAGCGCTTGCGACGAAAGCCGCCAACAGAAGAACCCTGAACCCTGCCCGTCTATTCTCCGGGGTTGCCAATTCGTTGATTGGAAAGCCAGTTATAATAATATCTACGAATACAAAGTCAGGGGTCATTAGAAACCCGAAGCCACCGATGCCGTGGTTGTTTTACATTGTGGCAACACCTATACCCGTGTTAATATATTGCATCAATAAACTACCAAGAAATAAAAAAGTCTTCTTTTTCTTTTTTTTGCCTTTACTTTTTGTTTACTAGAACAGACATTTGAGACCTCGACGATAAAGTCCACAGTCCATCAAGCAGTCGACACTTGACTCCCCGAGCAGACGGATGGAATTAGCAAGTCGTATATTCAAGGGCGCTCACGAACCCGGCAGGGCATCCAAAGCACCGCCCGGCTCGCAAACAAGACCCCCTATGCAATGCTATAATGGAAGTACAACAGCAACCACCCATAAAACAACTCCGGCTGACGAGTCGGCGCAGGGAGCAAATCCAGGTCCTCCAAAGTCGCCTCATGATCCAGTCAACCGAACTATATTACGTAGAACCACTCTCAAAAAAAAGATTAAAAACCCTCGTCTAAGAAATTACAACCCAAAAAAGACCTCATTGGACAAGTAGGTCTGCCCCCTTTTGCGCAAGGGAGGAAAAAAGAAAAAAAAGAAAAAAAAGGGCGGCTCATGCCACCCCGCCCTAGGTATTTATGACCGGGCTTACAAGGCGAAAACACCACCGACGAGACCAGCGGCAGCCATGGCGAAGCCGTAGGCCGCGGTGAGGCCGTCGGCGCCGGCGACGACGACGCCCGTCGTGGCAGCAGGGGGAGGGGGCTGGGGAACGCCGGGAGTCTGCACAGGCGGCTTGGGGGGAGGAATCTCCTTGGTGTGAGGAGGAGGAGCTTCCTTGGTGTGAGGCGGCTTCTTGTGCGTCTGGATACAAAAAGCCAGGTTAGCAAGTCCTCCTTATCCATCAGAGGGGACAAACAACAACAACAACAACAACATACCTCGGTAACGGTGCAGGGGCACCCGGTAATGGTCAGGGTGGTCGGCTTCGTCACCGTGTACGTCTTGGTGCCGATTTCGACGGTGGTAGGCTCAGGGCAGTAGGTGGTGTAGCGGCTGACGACCTTTGTCTTGGTGACGACGGTGGCATTGTGACGGTCCGCGGAGGAGCCCCACGAGTGCTGGGCCTCGGACGAAGAGGCCGGGTGCCACTCGTGCGACGCGGCCGACGAGTGCTCCCAGTCGTGGTCGGGCTTGGCCGTCGGAGCCGGCGCCTCCCACGCCTTGGAGGAGCCGGCGCCCAGCTCGACCGACGCGGGCGCGGGCGCGGGCGCCTGGCCGACGACGGAGCCCACGAGGGCGGCTGCAAAGATGAGGGCCTTGGTCTGCATGGTGACGGGTTCTGGGAGAAAAAAAGGGACTAGCGAGTGTTGTGTTGTTGCGGCTTGGTGCAAACAACAACGGCAGATAATTAGCGAGTGTTGTAGAACGAATGTCTGGTGTGTTTGATAGAACAGGAGAAGGCAAAATAACAAAAGCAAAGGCAGCTTATCAACTCGAGGGCCAGAGACGCGCAGCTATTTATGTTTGGATCTCGGTTCTACCCTTTCCCCCATTTCTCCTGGTTGTATTCACATCCCCAAACCAGACCTCGTTCCTGTGTACGCGGCCCAGAATTCCGGCCTACGCAAACAGACACTCTGCCAAAAATGCAAACGAGACACCGCGCACCAAAAAAGCACTTTACTAAAAACAAAACACGCCGTCTGTCCTGACCGTCTCCGATCTCCGCCTTCGTGTGAATCAGTCAAATCTCGTCCTGTTAGGGCCATTCCATCCCCCTTAAACACCAAAAAAGAAAAAGAAAAGAGAAACCAAACTGGTCTCGGCACCTACGCAGACGAAGCTTGCCCACCGGGCCAATGAGCACGCGCCGGGCCAGACGCGGCATTCCAGTCGCCCCGTCGCTTCTGGCGACATCTATCAATCTAGTGACACACACACAGCACTGAGTGCCAAGCTGGGCGATCCCGACATCTGTTAAAAGGCCACGGCACTTGGACACGCTTTCAGATCGGGAAGCCTCCTCGCGTGCCAGCCAGTTCGCGTGCCCTGCAGTGCTCCCGCGGCAACCAGACATTTCGCATTCCTCGCAGACACCTCTTGTCGATCCATCACCACCAGACTGTCGCACCCGCTTGGGGAATGGCTCGCCTGCCCTGTTGCCTCCTAGCTGCTGCAACTGTGCATGCATGCATTCATCCAGTCCTGCACATCACTACCAGTTGCGCTCGTCACAAGTCCAACACAACCAACCCATTAACACGTCATGGCACTTTCATACTCTGACAGCTCAAACGTCGTCTGTTCAGTCTCTTTTTTTATTTCCTAATCATCTATGTACCGGCCCCCTCGTGCCGTCTGCGGTCCTGTCTGCTGTCTGCTGCCCGCTGTCTGCCAAGCGTGCCCGCAGACCTCAGAACCCCGAGTCGTAATGATTTACATTCGTCTTCTAGGTACGGCGTACATACATCCAAAGCCTTGGAAATCTCAAACATTTGCCTGAATAGGGTTGAAATCCCGGGGAATAAGACTCCGCCACCACTTCGGCTTTCGGGATGCCGTTGGGGAACGACACTGGCGACAGACCAGTCCCATCTGATTGGCCTTTTTTGGGGAGTCTCAGCGCCGGTTTGCGTTTCGCCCTCTCCTCCCAAAGTCTTCTCCCGACCGTTTCCCCTCCGCCAGACCGTTAAGTGGCAGCATTGGTGGTGGCTTGGTGGCTTGGTGGCTTCTGCATGACATGGCCAATGCCGCCCGTCTTGCGCCGTTGCACGTCTCCCATATGCCATGACACTTACGGACCGACGCACGAGGCAAAATTTTGAACGCGCCCAACCAGAATATGTCACTGGTCTCACTGTGGCCGCAACTCGGCCCGACGCCTCATAAATGGCGCGATATCAACGCATGCCATCCATGTTCGCATTGTTGTCATCATAGAAAAGGTGAAATTGCCCCGCCCCCTCTAAGGTCGTTTTCCCCAACGCCGTCTTCATTTCCAATCAAACAGAGACACAGAAAACAAGTCCACGCAGGCCAATGCCGCAGGCCATCGCAACAAGCGCGTTTTAAGAAGGGAAAATAATAATGAAAAAAAGGGAGCATGCCAAACGTAAAGCATAAAGGCAGCAGTGTTGATCAGCCAGTTCAGAACACTAGCCACTGCGCTCACTCAATGCCCTTGACTGACGTCTCGTTCTGGATTGCGCGCCTGGTGATCCACGCCCATGGGTGTTGGTATTGTATATAAATGAGGCCATAAAATGAGGCAAAAAGTATATAGTTTCCGAAAATAACGCAAAGAACACCGATTGATGCAGAGGTATAAGGTCTCGAATCTAGAACATCTCATGATAAAACAAAATGACCATGTAAAAAAGTGAAATTGACGGCCGCCTCGTGAGTGGTGGAAAATGCTGTTCGACGCAAGCGTATAAACTTTAACTGACGTGACGGTGCATGACTCGCGGCCGCTCTTTGGCCAGCCGCCTCGGACTCTCAGCCCAGTAGAAGAAATGTTTCTTATTTGCGGTTGGAACGACTTTGGCTCCGCTCGGGTGCGCGGGCCGACATGTCAAGATCGTAGTTCCTGAGTTGCTGCTCGTACTTGGCGTTGCGAAGAAATTTCGGTACCGAATCCTGCAAACAAAGGCAAAAAATCTCCGTTAGCACAGTCTGCCGGGCCTGCCGATTCATGCGCGCCACGGAGCCTCGGGGGCACAAGGGTAAGAGGCACCAATTCTAGAAAAGGATAGACTTACGCTAGCCATCAGCTTGAAAACTGCATTCTGTGCATCCTCGAACAGAGCCGTTACCTCCTGCAACGTCTCAATCATTGTGTTGTCTTGACCCACAGCCTTGGTCATGCGAGTAGCCAGGTTGTTGCGGAGTTGGTGGTCGATGTTGAGTTCACAGGGTGATCCTGGAGCCAAGAAGGCATTGTAGATGCCGTAGGCTTGAGCCATGATTTCCTTGATGGTGTCCATGGAGCTCGCGTTCGGTGCCTTTTGAGCTTGACGAATGGCATCCTTGCAGCTGCGTACGAATTCGCCAACGTCCTTGTAAAATGATAAATTCTCCTCGCAATGGGTTTCTCGTAAATTTTCCCTGAAAAGAAGGCGCAGGGCAGCATCGTTCAGGATCTTCTCTAGTCTCTGAGTGTTGGAATCTCTCGTGATGCCATTTCGTTGAGAGCCTGTACCATTTTCGCTCTCTGATGCACGGCCCCTAGAACCACTTCCACTAATTAGCTCTTTACCACGGGTAGTGAGCTGGTAGATGGCATGCTTCGTTGGCTGAAACAGGTTGTATCCAGTGTTCTGTGACATAAAGGCCCGATCCTGAACGACAGGCTCCATCAAGTCGTACTCTACAAACAGGGACGCAATCTCGACGGTTTCACGACGGTCGACGATTGTGGAACAGTCCATCAGCCAGTCCGTGGTGGCTTTGCCGGTGAATGTGTCTCTGTAGGCCTTGCCGTTCACCTTCCGCTCTGCTGCCATTTTTACTCCGGTGAGCCCATCCCTATAATCGTGTAGGGAGTCCGAGTCGGCGGCAGTGACGCTGGTTTTGACGTTGCGTCGATCGGCACCAACAAAGCGGCGGAATATTACCTCGATAGTCCCCCAATCGTGTAGAAGCTTGTCTGTTTGCTGGTCACGTTCCAGAATGACCAACTGAGCCGAGCTCATATTGGATAATTCGCCAACCTGCTTCTGTTGGATGCCATTCCTGGAACAGAAGCGATCCAGCACCGTGATGCCCTTTGGAGTCAATTGCCAAACAGATCCCTTCATGTTGTACACTTGCTGGTATTTACCGTCTGCTGATTCAATAAAGCGGGCCTCCACGAAGCGTTGGCAGATGGACCTGGCCATGTCCTTGGCCATGGAAAAGGTCGTTGTTGTCGTCGTGGTAACAATTCTAGAAGGGTCCTTGGGATCGGGCATTCGATTTGATTGTGAGAATTTTAGTGAGCCGAGGTTATTGATGGCATCTTCTGAGAGGAAGGTGTATTCAACTTTTGACAACCGTACGCGGTGTGCAGAAAGAGGCAGCAAGCTGACAATGAGAGTTGCGAATAAATCTTTGAAATCCTGTTTTTTTGGATGCAATTAGCAAAGAGCTTCTTGGCCAAGAATTATGTCTTTGGAGAGAATTAAAATAAATTTTACAGAAAAAAAAACAGCCAATTTCACTTTAACAATCTTCCGCATCTGCAACACTGCGCATTGGAGTGGAACCATTCAAGTGTCAGAGCAGGTGGTCTGAGTGAGACGATGTTGGCATCAGTGAGTGAGAGATTGAGTGAGTCTAGTCTCGCTTAAACAAGACCAAGGAGGCGACCCCCACAGAGCTTCCCGCCTCGTGGTGTGCAAACGCACGTCACCCAACCTGATAAACCAATCCGCTGATTGCTCTCCAACACTGAAATGCACGTCTCTCCCGGTACAGCAGAATGATAGGGATGAATCCCAGGGCTTGTCGAGCGCAGCAAAAAAGAGCGAGGAGGGGATGGCGAGGACATGGGATTGCAGAAAACATACCCTTGTGAAAGGTCGGTCATCGTCCGTCATGCGCAATAAGCGCGACGATGTTTGATGCATTTTCTTGTCAGACGGCGCTACTCTGATAGGTGCGGGCAGACTTGGATCTGTCTCCGAGTATGGCTGTGAAGGTGGATGGTTCGCCTGAGCCGCTGGAGACACTACCTTGATTTGGGCTCTTGGGGCGGGAGTGAAGGGGCCGTTGACAGAAAATGCCTTGGATCCGGCGGTTCTGCCTGGGCTTGAGGGTTCTGGACTGGGAGCAGAAACTGATTGCAAAGAGAGACGAGCCAGTGCCGAGTTCGAGTGTCGAGGCCGGATGACGGGTTCAGATATGCCGGCGAATGCGTTCTGGGTTCTGTCCAGGGCGGCAGCGGCTCGGCTGAGAAGACTGGTGGCAGAACGCTGTGATCGGGAAAAGGAACTTGCGGACGGAGTGCTCGAGTGTCGCTGGTGGTGGGAGGAAGCGGGCAGGGTGGTGAGGTCGGCAGTCAGGCGGTCTGACGTCGATGATCGGGGTGCAGAGGTGTAGTGCTTCAATGGCGGGGTGTGGTGCGCGTGGTGGCTATCGTGACTGTGATGATGCGTCTTGGAAGCTTGCGAGGGAGTGTCGTCTTCGATCGGAGGTCGATGCGACAGGGCGGCCATCTGACGAAGCCAAAAAAGTTAGGACAGATGGTGACGGCGATGGGAAAGTTGAAATAGAAGACAAAGCGGACTGCATGGGACGACCAAAAAGAATTAGGACCAGACAAGAGATGGTCAGAGCCTAGCGCCTAGCGTCTGGTCTCAAGTGCAAGCAAGTGCTCTCTCAGTGTCTCGCCAGGGGGGGTGGGGGTGGGGTGTACGGAGTCAAGTATGGAGACCACTCGAGGGCGCAAAGGTGCACCCGTTTGCCCAGTTTAACGTGGGAGCCCAGGAACAGACGAAGCAGGCGCACAGGCGACAAGATGGCACAAGAGCCAGCACCGCGCTCCATGCCCCCATGCCCCCATGCCCATGCTCCCACTGCCATGCCTGCAAGTGCCATGCCATGCCATGCCATGCCACACTACCTGAGCCTGGTGTGTGAAGCCACCCAGGGGCCGGATGTAGAGGGTACTTGCAGCAAAAATCTTCAGGAGCTGGGCCCGGGGCGTGGGGCGTGGGACGTGGGACATGAGGCGTGAGGGTGGGTCCTGGGTCGAGGGGCCAAGCTAGGCCGCCTGCGCTGCTCGAGTTGTCGGACGAGGAAGACCAGGGCATGGCCTCGTGCTCACGCTCGTGGTCGTGGGCTGTGGGCGGGCTCCAGTGCTGCGGGCTCCAGTGCGCTGTGGTGGACTGTGGACTGACGATAGCGTGGATGGAAGGGCCGGGGCTTCTAAGGTGGATATTATTGACTGCATTTGATAGCCCTCGGTGCTCAAGTGCTCCTTGACTTTGGCGTCACCTCGCCGACATGTCGAGCGCATCAGCCAAAAAAGGGCTGCCCAGCTGGCGGTTTGCGGCATTGGTTTCCACGCTCATTGCCCATCGTCGACATGCATATATTGAGCCGTAGCTGGACCTTGAGCCATGGCAGCAAAGCAAGCCTGCTCGACTGGACGTGACAACCCCGACTCGGCAACCTCTGGAACGGCACAACTCTGCACGCATGCAGCAAGTACGTTTCCATTTTCCCCAGCATTGGTCAATAGCCTGCGTCTGCTGGCTTCTATACACAGCACATGCAGACTTGGGCAAGCGACTATTCAATGCCATGGCTGGTGTAACTTGGCTCCTCAGCCTCAAGCAGTTGAATGAAGCCTGCACTGGACCACCGGCTGGAACATTGTAAAGCCCTTGGTAAACCAAATGTTGGCCAGCAAATACAATTGCTTGTCTACTCAAGTGATGCAGTGCCCAAGCGCTCAAGTGCTTCTCAAATTCAAGCCGAATCACTGATTCAAGGCCGCCAGCTATGTGTTTCTATCCCAGAGAAGACATATAAACACACACATGATACGAGTAGGGACGAAAAAGCCACGATGAGCATGAGTATCGCAATGCAAATACCAGCCCAAGCTACAAACCGCTTGCGCTCAAGCTCGCCCACTTGAGCATCTGCCAGCGCCTGACACAAGGCAGACCAGGGTCAGGGTGGTCAAGAGGTGGGGGATGATCCATCGTGAAAAGAAAAAGAAAAATAAAAGACGACCGTGAAACCGAGGCTCCGTGAGCCCCTGTATAATGAATGGGGAGAGAAAAAAAAGAGGAAGAGCAAGGAAGAGAGAGAAAGGCAGGTCAAAATCAAAGAAATGCCATGCGCAACAAAAATAAAATAAAAAGGGGATACGTCATGCTACCGACGGCGTGACATGGATTTTGTCTATTCGACAAGTAGACCAAGGGGAAGTCGGTATTATTCAACTTCCGTCTTTTGGCTGCCAACCTTGGGAACCGCTACTCTGGGCAGACTGCATGTCCGTCATCAACGTCTCAATTATCGCACTCTCTGTGCTTTATCCTGGTGGGATGCAACGTTCGGGCCATGTGCCGGTGGGTGTGACACGGGAACTTGGCTGTCCGCATCACGATGGGCCCGCGTGCTTTATCAAATGCAAAGAATTTGAATAGCGTCAATCATCTCAACCCTTCGCCCTGCTAGCACGAGGCGTACGGGGTATTTGATGTGCACATCCGGAGCCTGGCCGAAACGGGCTTTGGATCAGGCTATTGTATGTACTGTACGATCCACCTTGCAAGAACGACATGTCCAGGTTGCCAGTACCTGTTCAGTGATTCCTGTGAGGGCATTCGTTGGACCCTCGAGAGCCGTACGATATCAAATAAAAAATGAGTCGGAACCGACTTTCGTCACGCTGAAATTGCATGCCCGAGAATCCAGGACCATCGATGCAGTCGTCGACCGATGGACTGGTGCCATGTATCACAAGCCGGCGCGGACCAAACGCTGGCTCAATGTCTTCACACGTCCTCGCTTCGTACACGCATACTTACTTAAGTACACAAGTACGTGCAAGAGCGAACAACTAGTTGAGGTGCATTCCACAAACAGACACCTGTTTATCGCAGATTGCAGATCCTGTCGTGGTACAAATAAACTGCAAGGCGGCCTCAGGCAAGGTCTAGCAACGGCCAACAGGCAGTGGATGGACCGGAACCATGTGGCTTTGAAGACTTGTTGGATGCGGCAACTCGACGAGAGGCACACTCACAGTACACGCCGAAGGGTCGCTCCCCGCCCCAATTCCGCGAGGCATGCATGAACTTCTTAAGCTCCCCTCGCGAGCAGTCAGTCCATTGACGATGCACGGGCTGGGGTGTTTTGCTTCCTTGGAGTTGAGCTCATAACGTCCGGCCGCAATACCGGCAAGACCGAGCCCGTGGTTTAAATTGTCCTTCTAGAAAGGCGCGCCCGCAACCGAGCTACGGCCCGTCCGCAGCCGACTTGAATCCATTGTCGGCGAATCTGGCACATGTCTGTGCTACGACTCGCATGCGAAAAGCCCGCGCACGTTGTTGGCCTGGCTGCATCGTGAGCCGTCGTTTTCTGCCCCAGACTGCAGGAACTGCTCTGCTGGACGCCCTTGGGAGCTCAAGAGGCAATGACGTCTCGGGAGCACCAGTCATCCGTCAATGTATGGAGTACGTACTCGGTACCGTCCTCACGATGACTTGGAGAAGCACATCATAGTAATTGATGCCCGCTGCCCAGTCAGTGTTGGCCCAGTCCATGTCGGTGATAAGCATTGGTGGGGCCGCTTACACTGGGTGCGTTGGCGCACAATGCCACTTTGCACTTTTTTGAGCATGCCGAAATTCGCATGCAATATTATGCACTCCATACGCACATACATACTCCGGCCACTGAACAAGCCCTGGCGGGACATCCGCGCGAAATCCATCTTGGCCACACCGCCATCGGCTGTGAGGGCCTAGAAGACATGTTGGATTCTAGTGCCTGTGCCGTGCTGTGCTGGGATGCTGTGACAAGGAAACTAGCCGACGGAGAACCGGGGAGATGGTGCTGTGAGGTCGATGCGGCAGTAATAATACCATTGATATCATCCATCCACATCTGTCCAAGGCCTATACCAGTCCGAATTATGCCGGTATTACTGAAAGCCCAGTAGAGAGAGGTACGGAGTAGCCAGGGAGGAGGTATGGGTTCTAGAGTGCGGCATCGAGTACCTAGAAGTTACTCAGCGAATAGCGGAACCGCCCTCGTGGACTCGCACGAGTTTCGTCCCAGATCGGCGCGTGGCTCCAGGGATCGGCTTGCAGCAAGCAGCTAGGCCACTTTGGGTCGCCCGGCGCTTCCCTTCTTGGTGCGTACTTGGCAAATGAGGGCTGTTCGCGAATGTCGAGTCCGTCCATGTCTGCTGGTCAAGATTCAATGTTCAATGCTCGTAGCCGTACTGTCAATTGCGCTGTTGTGTTGCCCCCCCACAGCGCACCCAAGTACTTCTGGGCTGGGTCGCTTTCCGTCCAGCCCGATGGGCTCCATCAATTGATGTCAGGTTCTGGTCTGTTGAACCTTGTTTAGACGTCGTCGAAGGAGTAATAGGGCTCCGTTTTGCCTTGTTCTCGCCTGCCAATTCTGACAGCAACTAGTATTCGATTCATGAATCTCCAGCAATAAAAGCCATGGTATAGCATGATATCCATATGAAGCATTCGCTGGTATGCGCGAAGCGATCCACAGCATCACGAGACAATCCGCCTGTCGCCTGTCATGGCCCGCATAGCCGAAAATTTTCCCATTCCTTGCTCCGCGATTGCTTCGCTTTCGTGTGTTCGAGCCGACTCCGCCAGTGCATGTTGAGATTCAGCGCAGCACAGATCAGAAGGCATCGATCTGCCCTGTCGGTCGGCACATGGTGGCGGCCACAAAGAAAAAAAATTGATATTTTCCCTCAGAGCCAGCTTCATGGTTATGATGATATCGGTCCAACCACCTTTGTCATTGGTAATGCAACGTCCAGCCTCTTTACCATGAACCAAACGGACGGGCGCAACAAACTGAGAGTTGAACTTACCTTTGTGAGGCTATACAGTTTCCTCGACTGCCTGTGTTTTCCGTCTGCACTTGACAAAAGCAAATGGCCCCAACAAGACTGCGGTGCCTTCTGGATCAAAAGTGGGTGATTTCAGGTGATTGGAGGATAGTTATACAAACTCTGATCGGGCGCAGAACGCCAATAGTTGATTCCTACAGAGCCGATTTATTCATCACGGCACCTGGACATTTAGCTCGCGAACAGACAATCCAGCACCCTCTGTGAATCAGTGGGTAGTAATTCCGGAACACTGTGGCTGGCGCCGCCCTGGGAAATAGTTTCGAATATTGAAACAAGTTGCCTCCCAAACCAGCCCCTTTGAGCGGTTAGCAGGATCCCGCACCGCAATACTACAAGAATATGGAGTAAAAGAAATTTTCGCTTAATTGGGCAGGGGGGTCTTATGTCGTATGTACATGTACATCAAGCATTGCGCAGAGAGAAAATGCCACAATACGAATAATTCATTAGCTTCCTGAATGTATGGAGTTGACCCAGCCGTAGTCCACAACTATCAGTTACAGATATGTTCTGGAAGTTCGTCGTGGGTCTGTGCTGATGATGATGGCAAGGGTGAAATGAAGGGTATGCTCAGCGCAGTTGTCA